ATAAATAATAATCGAGTTAAATGAAGTGAACTGTAAGAGACAGTTACGACCTTCGCTTACGGTGCTGACTGCTTTTATTCCTCCTTTTCCCCTCGTGACCTCTTTTTACCCTCCCCGAGTGACGAGTACTGGGTGGGTATTTCGGACTCGGAGCAACCTCGCCATCAATACGACGGCTCCCGTCGTAGAGAATCCAAGGAGCAAACCACTCAGTGGAGAAGAGAGCTGCGGCAGGAAATTACTCGTTCGTGGCATTCTCTTCGATTCAGGCGAAAAAGTTGTGCGGTGGAGGGGAAAGAAAAGCAGAAAGGCTACTGAGGAGCGCAGCTGACCGGAAATTCAAAATTCGTTTTATTGACGCTCTAAATTACAGTTCTCCCAAGCAAATTTGAATGAAAATGACAAACAATAATTATCATTCTCGTAAAAGACGGTAATTTACGTGCATGCTAGTTAAAGCTAGAAATCTTCACCCAAATAAACGAAGTGTTCACTAGCCAATCTAAAATCCCTCCACTGCGTTTCGTAAACAAATAACACTATGCATCATATTATTAATACTTACCTATGAAGAATACACACATCATTTAAATAACATTATAAAATGTAACTTTGAAATTCAGTACCTACAGCTATTATTTCAAGGCGATTCCATTTATTCGCAGTGATTCGTAAACTCTCGTCGAAATCATCCCGTCGAGGAATTGCTTAAAAATTATTTCTCTCTCAGTTTCTTTGTGGTGAGGTTGGGGTGGATCGTGCATGAGAAACAAAACAACAAACGGAAATCAAATAAAAGTCCATAAGATGATACGAACTTGTGGTGTCTGAAAAATTAAATTGATACCGTAAGTACTAGATCATATAAGTCTAAAACTATTTTCATAATTGTAATACTGAACAACCTAATCAATTACTGTATGCATTACTTTTAACATACGAAACATTTGTTTTCACTCAGTCATCCAAGTTATAATAAATAGTAAGTATATACCCTTTCCCAAGGCATTTGAAACTACAAGTCTTGTGTAATGTATTATTTATATTTGTAATTGCAGGACATATCAATTGATGATATGGTTGGTTATCAGGTAACAAACATTTTAAATAAGATTCTCAACAATTCTGCAAAATAATAAAATGTAAATGTATTACAACATGTTTCATCAATATATATGACCTGAATTGCATAAAATGAAAGTAATTTTCGAAATGTTTGCGACCCTATAACTCCACGCCCTTGTTTTGGGCAAATATTAGATGAAGCAGTTAGTGAAAACGCGCACTATGACTGATTCAGTGTTCTCCTAAGACAGTCTATAAAATCACATGAGAAACTCATAATAAACAAAATACAATTAAAACGACTATCGTGAATCATACGTGATACACATATAATTCAGTTGCATAAGGTGCTATTACAATTTCTACAATAGATCTCGTCAACCTCTCTATTGCCATGATACCCTATTGCAGTATCTGCATATCTGACGGTAGTCTACACAGAGTCTCGGTCAAGCGGAAAATTATATTTGTGCGGATTAATGAGCACTCTCCTGCATATTACCTCCAGCGTCAGAGTGCACAGTCACCACACGTTTCCACTGGGTTACGAGAATCGATTTTGTATTTCCTTCCTTTGCGCACTCATCATGTATGTGAACGGATCCCTAGTTATTAATTCAGAGCTTCTCTTTGTAAATGTAACTCATAACAAGTATTCGAAAGAACAAAAAAACAATTTTGAAAGAAGGTTCGATAACTTTCAAAGTCACTAGAGATGACAACTGCAACTGCAATTCAAACTCAAATTTTTAACAAGCAAGTGCAATCAATTTTTAACATTCATAGTTGCAGCAATTTGCGGTATAATTTTTTTAAAGACATTGATTTTAATTTGAAGAACTGTAAGAGCGAAGTACAAGAGTGTCAAATTTGTAACAACTGGTTTCACTAGAGAAACATAAAATTTAATTCGCAAGTTATCTTTTTTCGTTTCTTGTTATTTTGATTTTCATTGTTTTATTTGCGTTTCAGCCAACGATTGCAAATTTTCCTCTGTATCAGTTTTATTATTCTTATGACAATTATAACTATTTCCAACAATATAGTTCACAAAAAACTGTCGCAAAACTTCTCAGCATCGTGTCCAATAGTTCCCCTTCACGAAAGACATGTCCCTACATTATTGAAATAAATAAATACTATCTGTTTATGGCGAATCTCTGGTAATCGAGCGTGTTATTCCACCTAGAAAAATTTCAAGACGTTAACATAAATTATATAATTTTTAATTGTAAATATTTTTTTAAAATAATCAATAAATTCTTCACAGACAGCAAACTAGGGATAGTCTAATCATATGTCACAAGCAACTGAGATAAAGCAGCAGTAAGCCAATATTATTAAATTGTTTTGCACATAGCAACATAGGCAGACGTAGTTTAACGGGCGTCATGTTCTTGTGACGTGATGAACTCACGAATTGTTCTTCACACACAATCCCCAATTATTATTTAAGATGTAATTTGTGAAGATGATTTCAATTATAACATGGTAGCGAAGACGTTCAACGTTTAACAAAAGTTGCTAAGGCGAGTCCGTTTTACTTTATTAGGTTGTTGGGTTTCTTGTCTACTTTTATTATCTTGCATAATGTATTATGTGTTTAAATTTGATAGTCCATTCACTAGGGAATTAGAAAATATTTTCCAGTATTCAAATCAGAATATTTGTAGAAACCATGCTTTTCAACGTCAGTCATATAGTGGGGACTTCTGTGTAATACTACGTTTTAACATAATTATGTTAATTTTAGAGAGAATGCACCTGACGAAACCTCAGGCTCGAAATGCGTAGTGCAACAAGTATACTTTGTAAAACTAATTGTTGGTTACTACTACTGAAGAAACTGTATAATTAAACTTCTGGTATTTTAATGTGAATAAACATGTTATTGTGCTTTGTATTTGTTTGTTTTTTTAAGTAATCTTGCAGAATCACTGTCAATAAACTAAAATGGATGAATACGGATGAATGAAACTGTAAATACTTTAAGAGACAGTGCAATCATTGAAAAAATTGATCAAGTTACAAGATCGTTTAAATCTTTCTCATATAAATGACATTTCCGACGCAAGTAGACGTAGAGATAACAAAATACAAAGCGTCTTTTTTCTCTAACCGTAGTCAATAGCTTACAGTAGCCCATATATAAGAACTACATATTTCAATGAACCGACATATTTGCGACCGTATACCAAAATATAACAATAAGTGTATATTGGTCTATGGATCTTTGAACTCCTCACAAGAGAACGGCGTCGGCAGCAGAGAGAGCGGAGGCGAGGCTCGCGAGTTATTGAGGGCGGCAGAACCGCGAGTGAAAGCGACAGGTCCACCGCCCACGCAGAGGCCCAGCGTCGCGCCCGGCTCTCGCCCCGCCGCTTTAGAGCGGCTCCGCGCCCAGGAGGAAATCTCGCCCAGACGGCCAGGCCTGCTCATTTCAGAAGGGCCTTCTCTGCGCCGATGTAGAAAAGTGAAGGGGGCCCGGAGTAATGTAGAGACATTGTCAGTCCGGTAATTGAAAAATACAAAAAATATAAAATTCGTCGTGTTCGTCAGTCGCATTACAAATATTAAAATAATAGTCAATAGTTAAATTAAAAGCATTGAATGCTGAAGTCGTTGGGTATTGTTTTGTCTTTCAAATCAAAACCATTGTCCTTAGAAAAATATAAATTAATTTTGTACAACTCTTCATCGAGGAAGGGATGGACCAAGTTACTGTTCGAGAAGTATGGCTATTCCACAGTCAGCGACCAATTAATATGTTTGAGCACCTAATAAAATTCCATGCAGTTTAATAAGAACTTCAACATAATAAAGCAATTTACAGGGGCTTCTCTTCTCGTTCTCCCGCCAAGCGTACAGTATGAGTTCGTAAAACCAAGTACACGAATTCCACAAGGCACAGATGAATCGAGCAGCCAGAATATATACCGAGGAAATTAAAAGGGCGTAGATCACACACCGCTGGCAGCGACGTTGCATCGTCCAACGCCCCGCAAGGCAATTCCAAGAGACATCAAAACATAAGAAATCTTCCGGGACAGACGGCTGGTACAGGCAGGACGAATTGCTTCCTCTACGACTTTCTCTGGAACCTCAAACAGGCTGAGGGGCGAGTGGCCGACTACTGCAGCCGCTAACCTAACGGTGTGCTATTCTTCGGTGTTAGGGTCACATTCTGAGGTAGTTATCGATAGGAAAAATTGTAGGAGGCGATAGAAATAAAATTATATTGTTGCAAATCGACAATGCATAAAATTTCACAGAAAGTTACCAGAAATAGAACGATGGTGATTTAATAAAGTCAATTTTACATATGACAATAACCTTTCATTTTTGAATTCTGAATTAGTCTTGTACAAATTCCTTTGATGTCTAATGCGGACAGTCCGCGAAGAGATTTGTATTTACACTTACAAGCCTAGAGAAACCAAGAACAATATAACTTGAAATACACAAGTAATCCTTTTCTTTCATATTCACTTTAATTCACACTCCGGATTGATGAAAGGCGCGAGAACGGGAGTCGGGATGTAGGAAACTATAGGAAATGGTAAGTAGGTAGTATTTAACTCAATCATTTACACAAATATATCACTTAAACTATGCTTCCTAATTTCGTCCTTGAAAATCTATAAATTACTTAGCTCCTATACATAACAAAATGTCAAAATTTTGAAATCTAAGCGAAAATAGTTTTAATAATCTAACCCTCAGTTTGAGAGCGCACCATTGCCTTAGAGGGGAATCGGTAAATATGTTAATTAATAATAGTTTTAGATTCCGGAGTTCTTACTCTCTTCACGACCTACCAGGATTGTTTTTTCGATTTCTCAATAAAATTAAAAATACACCATACCGTTCAGGAACACCTCAGCATCGTCCCTTTTTCTTAAACCCATACCACAGCACAGGTGCGAGTTTATGACCAGCAACTCACCTAGAAACAATGAAGGAATTATTACAAACATAAACAAATAAATACACGAGAATAGAAAAGTACGTGTTCAAAGCGAACAATTTAGTTTTCCAATGAAGAAACAAAGATATGCATTTCTGAACATAGAAGAATAAAATCAGATAGAAAAGTATATTTAATTCCTCGTTCCTATAGAAAGTTTAGGGATACAAATCAACATTGCTTACATGACATTAGTTCGAATTTATCACCTCGAATAATTTAAGAAAAAGTGAACTCATAACATTTTATATTCTTGAAAATACAAAATGAAAATAAAAATTTACAACCGGAAACACGACAAAAAATAAGTTTGCAATCACAATTTACGATCAAAGCAGAGCAAATGACTCAGTGCTGCCCAGCTTTCAATTTCCCAATAAACCAAAAAAACGAAAAACAAAAAAAAATACCACTCATTCTATTTCCTCCCCAAACAGGAAAATATCTTTAAACAACGCGGCCTCTCCTCCGTGATGGTGCAAGGGACCGAGCTGCCCTTGCCGAGATGTCTCATGAGAAGCGTATTCCTACCACGCACGTCGGCGAATAAACGCGTAAAACAGGCACGCATTTCCTGCGTTAGGCGCCGCGATAGCCTCGGGGAGGTTTCGGTCCCCGAACCCTGTTTGAAGTTTCTCTCACGGACGCTCAATATTGACGCGTTCTCGAATTCAAAACAAAACGCTGTCAGCAGCTGCCGCGCGACCCGCTCCGTCTTCGGCGCTGCCTTGCCTGGTCCACCCTCACTCCCAGCCGGCGCACTCGCCATCGCTCTCCGCAAAGCACACGTTCTTTCTTCACTTGTCGTGGTACGCAAATGTCAAGTTCTGATCATAAGGGAAAATTTTATAACCTTTATTTGTGTTCAACATCATTATCATTTTTTATGCATTATAAAATTATAATTTGCTCTTGTATATACTGAAAGAATCAGAACTTGATAAGGATTTATTATTATTATTATTATTATTATTATTATTATTATTATTATTATTATTACTGATGTTTGTGAACACTTTCTCAGAAATAAGTAAAAAGTAACCTTCGAAAAATAATAAAATAAATTTGTTTTCGAACATAAAATAATGAACATACGCACTGATTTGACCAAACTTCTGTGTGTCTTGGGTATACGTTCTGACACCCGAAAGATCCTGCTACCAGAGATAATAAAAGGTCATTACGAGCATTCATTCTGCGTCTCCTCTTAGGTAGCTGAGTGGTTGGAGGGTAATTAAGTGAGGGGTGTAAGAGTACATACAATGAGAGCCAAAAACCTGGTACAGCCTTGCGTATTGAAATTAAGAAACCTGGAACCAATCAGAATTCGGCTATCCGGTCGGGAACGATTATATACGACAACCAGAGTCTCGCAGAGTTGTTAGATCGGTTCATGCTGCTTCAGTGGCAGGTTATCACGATTTCAGGGAGTTTGAATGTGGTGTTACGAGTACAGTCGGCGCCAGAGAGATGAGGAATAACATCTCCGAGGTCGACTCTAGCGTTGCTCACACATGGATAAACATTTGTAGACATTCGATTTTTCATTATCAATGACATATAATGAATTGTGGCTACACCACTTGATCGAGGATCTTTCTTCTACTAATTTTAGTAACTGGATTTATCCACTTTTCGTTACCAGGTCCCTGAAATAAGAGCTTTTCAACAACTTTTGTTGGATTTTGCGCATCTTGAAACACCCATACAGTCGACTGCTGTTTACTTTCGGGCTCATACGCGTAAATCCACGATTCATCACCTGTCACGATGTCAGACGTTTCGAAGCACCGCGATCGTATTTTTTGAGCATTTCTTTCGACCAAGCGACACGAGCCTTTTTGAGCGATTGACAAATTGTATGGGATCCAGCGCGAACAAATTTTTTTGACAGTCAAATGTTCATGCAATATTGAATGTATGTTGGTCCCACTAATGCCTAATGTTGTCTCAATTCCACGATAGGTCACATGATCTTGCAATATCAGTTCACGCACAGCATCAATGGTTTTCTGAACAATTGATTTTGGACGACCTTCGCGAAATTCGTCTTGGAGTGAGCTACGAACACGATTGAATTCACCATATCATCGATAAACACTGGTCCTTGATGGAGCTTCATCGCCAAAAATTGAATTAAGTTCATCCATGCACTGTTGCTGAGTTAATCCACGTCGAAAGTTGTAAAAAATAATCGCACGAAAATGTTCACGATTTAATTCCACTTTTGGGCCAAGATGAATCTTATAAGTTACTGTAAACAACACAAATAACGCTCGTATGTCGAAACGTTCTGAGTACGTATAAGCTCAAAAACATCCAACTTTACGACAGAGCTGTCAGTTGCCAGATTCCAACACCAGGTTTGCCAAACCCCGAAACATAAAATGCAACCTTCGTACTTCGTTATATTTTGTCTATCTTTGAGACCAATTTAAAAACGGCAGAATATATTTTTCATAATTTTCCTGGAAGTAATTTTATTATAAATAAATAATATTTATTCAGCTTTACATTTTTACAGTTAAACAAATAATAAAAATATTTGGCACAGGCAATGGATTTGCTGTCACTTAAAACTGAGAAGAATTGCCTATTTATAAAAATGTCTTAAGGATGTAATGTAACAATTTTATCTCAAATGTTTAGCGATAGTAATACGTTATTTCATGCATTATTTTTAATTTGGTGCGTAATAGTAATACCACTCCAACTTACGTTCATATCAATTCGGGGTTCCTAATTTTGCAGAGTAGGTATATTCAAAATCGTAATAGCTGGCAATTATCACTCCTTCAATAACGTGTTAACAAAATAGTGGAACTTTTTGTTCGAGGATTACAGTTATTTACTATGGACTTACTATGTCACACTCATATTCTGAACTTCAGTTCATTGTCTTAATTTGTTTGGTCCATTCTTATATTTAGTCACTTGCAATTTGCAACACATTTCCATCAATAGGCGGAGATAAATTTCACATTTCATAAAAATAATATTAAATAATCTTAATAATGAAAATAATATTAAATAAATGATATTAATATTAAGCAGACTTTAACTTGACAAATCCAATATGCCTGAGTTGCATCAGCTTCTCTCGATTTTAACCGCCAATCGCTCCAGGAAACTGGTGCGATGAGAACAGGACGAGAAGAATAACATTTATAAGTTTCACACGCTTTCGTTTCAAAACGTTATGATGTTTCTTTGATTTTGCACAAGTTTTACAAATGTTTATTATTAATCAAACACGTAAGAACATGACTATAAGAGCTTCAAAATACGAATGAATCCAGAACACTTGGGCACCTGAAATAGGCATTTTAGGAAACCAGTCACACTTTGTCTTGCTTGCAAGGGACCGGAAGGATTCGGAATTATCTAATCTGCTCCCCAACATAAACGGCTGACGACACCTCATGCTAGGCAAACGTTGCAAAAAAGCAGCACAACTGAGAATAGTGAATGTTCAAAAATAATATTAAACTAAATGGTTTTGTGGCAAAAGTGATGAATTATTGTAGAGATTAAAATATAAATTTTCAAATAAATATTATCCTTTAAATTAATTATACGTTAGTTAAAATAGTGGAATAAAATATTTCTAAGTTTATAAAAAATAACTGTTCTTGGAAACCGTAAGAGATAATAATTAGCTTCCATTTTTAGTCATAGATGTCACACAAAAATGTACATTAACGTCAAAAACATTTTTGCAAATTCCAGATGATTGTTTATTTTAATCTCTTTATTGTTTATTTACTTTCTTTTACTTTCAAGGAAGTTGATAAGCGAGTCTTTGGAATCAGCAACGGCTCGTAATAATTCAAGGACGATTATTGTAAAAACGTGTGAATGAAATTTGACATACACAATACTTCCAACACACCGAACGACCTTTTACACACACACACACACTTACACACACACACACACACACACACGAGACAACCTTTCTGCACAAAATTTACAAGCGCTCCGCGCTGTATACAAAATTCGAACGACGATAGAACAATAATATTGTGTTTACACTGAAAACTAACAAAGTTCTGACTGAAAGAACATCAACGCGTGTGCATCACAGGTTTCGCTCCCCCTCTCAATGGATATTCTATGCGTAAATACACGACTCTCTGGAATGTAGTCATCCAATGATTAATTTATGAATATAATTAAAAAAAACATGTGTTTCCTATTGTCACATTGTAAACGGTATTGTCACATATTAAACGGTATTGTCACATCTTAAACTTTAAGACTTGCAAGTACAAAGAAACTAAACTTTCTTTAATCAGAGCTATTGTAATTTACAACACACAGTATGAAGAAGTTTAAGTATAACATTTTGCAAAAAATTAATCACTTATTTTCATGATACATTTTCATGAAATAATTATTCCAGAGAATACTCCAGAATGCATTCCATAAAACATCAACATATAAATCTAAACCCAAAACGTCGTTCCTATACATTACATTACTATTCACTGAGATATTAAACTCAAATTAAATTAAAGATTTTTCAAACACTAAAAATCCATTATAAAACCAATGTTAATTTTTATACGGTGGAAACATATTGTATATTTTCGTGAACGAAATGCTCTTCTGATGAATGTCTTGATTGGATTTTTCTCGAATTTAATTCTTAATCTCGACTGTGGAAACAGTACACTGCGCCATCTCAATATGGAAATAATTATCCGACACAAAATAATTATTTTGCTTAAAGTATCTTGCACATTTTTATTACCTCAAATCGTATAAAATTTATTCCGTTTAATGCATTAGTTATTCATGTAAATGAACATGTGCTACTACCGAAAACGCTCCTCCACCGAAACGAAAAATGGGAGAAAAGTGATTTGTGGAGTTCAAACAGTACGATGTGGAGAGATGGAATACAAGGGAGCCTCAAAATGCTTCAGTTGACCTGAAGGAACACTAACTTTACGTAAAACACATTACTCCTGAAT